GAGGCTGAGCTCTGTGGACCATGGACAGGGCTGGATTTAGGCTGGATGAGGCCTGAGCTCCTGGTAATGGGGCTCTTTCTATGTCCAGCTGTCCTTTGTCAGCAAAAATGGTCATTGTTTTTTGTGTTGAATAGATGCTATATGGTCATTTAAGGACCTCATAGGTATCTCAAGCCATTTGCACATGCAGAATGTAAGCACCCTATATATAGAAAGGAGCAAACCAGTGATAGTTTAGGGAGCAGGCTAATAATAATAATAATAATTTATATCCTGCCCTCGCCAGCCGAAGCCGGCTAACAGAGCGGCTAACAACAGTAAAATAATACAGCATTCTAAAAACAATTCATTATAAAATCAGCTAGCAGGTGGGGCCCATGACTTACATCATAGGAGCCTACACAACACAAAACACTGTTGCTGTATGTCAGTTTTATTTCATTTGGTTTTTTTTATCTTGTATTTTGGAAATCTACATCCAGGTTTTTTTCCCTTTAATTTTTTTTGGGGGCCCCAGGAGAGTGGGGCCCTAATCTATATCTTGTTTATCTTATATAGTATGTAAATCCAGCACAGGCCATGGATCTGGGTTGCAGATTTCTGTTAAGGAGCTGAGTTATCAGATATCTGAGCTATCAGAGAGAGCAAGATATCATTCATTTAAGCCGATAAGTGAGAAACAGCCCCTGCGTGGAATCAGGCACCTCCCTACAGACCTTTAAGCACAAGTTTATTGCTGATAAGGAGATTGGTCTTTACAGGACCACAGAAGAGCAAAAACCTGGGGAAACGGATTGAAACCGTTTATGCCACAAGGAGCAGAATCCTTTTGGGAGCTGTTGTTGTTGAGTCATTTAGTCATGTCCACCTCTTTGTGACCCCCTGGACCAGAGCACGCCAGGCCCTCCTATCCTCCACTGCCTCCCGCAGTTTGGTCAAACTCATGCTGGTAGCTTCGAGAACACTGTCCCACCATCTCGTCCTCTGTCGTCCCCTTCTCCTTGTGCCCTCCATCTTTCCCAACTTCAGGGTCTTTTCCAGGGAGTCTTCTCTTCTCCTGAGGTGGCCAAAGTCTATGTACCACTTGGGAAGTCTGCAACCAAGACCTGAGTACAAGGGCTTTCTCCCCTCCTAAAATTGCCGGAAGCTGACATTCAGAGGCATATTAGGATAGCTTTCAGGGTTCCTGGCCTTGTAATAGCTGTGCTCTCCCTCCAGGAGTTTGTTCCGATCAAAAGTGGGTGAGACAAACTCCTGGAGGAGAATGAGGCTATCAAAGGCTACCAATAGCAATGATTCTTCAACATCAACTTCGTTGGACTGGTCATGATGTTCGGATGCCTGATGATCGCCTTCCAAAGCAACTCTATTCCGATCTTAAAAATGGAAAACAAAAGGGGTTTAAAGGCTGTCTCAAGGCAAATTTTAAAAAAATGTAGTATAAACGCCAACAACTGGGAAAGACTGGGTTGCTAGAGCTCCAGTTGGAGAACAGCCTTTACCAAAGGTGTCACAGGCTTTGAAGACACTCAAACTCAGGACGCAAGGGAGAAACATGCTGAGAGGAAGGCACACTTGGCAAATCCACACCATGATCAACTCCTGCAAATAAACCCATGTCCCCACTGTGGAAGGAGGTGTGGATCCAGAATTGGCCTCCACAGTCACTTACGGACTCACTGTTAAAACCTTGTTTATGGAAGACAATTTTACTCGGCTATGAGGGATTGCTAAAGAGAATATACTAAGGCACGGGTAGGCAAACTGAGGCCCAGGGGCCGGATCCAGCCCAATCGCCTTCTAAATCCGGCCCGCAGATGGTCCGAGAATCAGTGTGTTTTCACATAAGTAGAATGTGCCATTTTATTTAAAATGCATCTCTGGGTTATTTGTGGGGCATAGGAATTCGTTCATTCCCCCCCCAAAAAAAATAGTCCGGTTCCCCACAAGGTCTGAGGGACAGTGGACTGGCTCTCTGAAATTTTTTTGCTGACCTCTGTGCTAAGGCCTCTGCCTTGGCAGGATTTAAAGGTAAAGGGACCCCAGACCATTAGGTATGACTGTAAGGTAAAGGTACCGCTGCCCGTACGGGCCAGTCGTGTCCGACTCTAGGGTTGTGCGCCCATCTCACTCAAGAGGCCGGGGGCCAGCGCTGTCCGGAGACACTTCCAGGTCACGTGGCCAGCGTGACAAAGCTGTTCTGGCGAGCTGGCACCAGCGCAGCACATGGAACGCCGTTTACCTTCCCGCCGGAGTGGTACCTATTTATCTACTTGCACTTAGGGGTGCTTTCGAACTGCTAGGTGGGCAGGAGCTGGGACCGAAAGACGGGAGCTCACCCCGTCGCGGGGATTCGAACCGCCGACCTTACGATCGGCAAGTCCTAGGCTCAGTAGTTTAGACCACAGCGCCACCCGCGTCCCAATGACTGTATGACTGTAGTTGCATGTAAACTTCCATTGTGCATCTTCTTCCATGTCTCGCCTAAGGACTCCTCTGGGTGGGAATGTTAAGGATAGTAGGAAAGGATATATTAAATAAGTCTTATCCTTCCTTCACTCACGCTCCCCTCAATATAGCTTGGAAGCTAGTTTGCAGATTCGTTTGAATCTCTTAAGGTAAAGGTAAAGGGACCCCTGACCATTAGGTCCACTCGCGGACGACTCTGGGGTTGCGGTGCTCATCTCGCTCTATTGGCTGAGGGAGCCGGCGTACAGCTTCCAGGTCATGTGGCCAGAATGACTAAGCCGCTTCTGGCAAACCAGAGCAATGCACGGAAATGCCGTTTACCTTCCCGCTGGAGTGGTACCTATTTATCTACTTGCACTGGTGTGCTTCTGAACTGCTAGGTGGGCAGGAGCAGGGACCGAGCCCCTCTATGTGAGCAATTCCTCAACAGCAAAAAAAAGGAAGAAGCTGAGATGCAAAAATGTTGGGTCTGGCTACCTCTTCGCACTTCACGGGATGAGGAGAGATGCTTGTGGTGACACCTGGCACAAAAATATTTCAAACATTTGCCCATCCTTCTCTTTCTCTCCCCTGCTCACGGTTCGCAGCTTTCAAAATATCCCTTTCCCTCCTGTCAAAAGCGAAGCAAACTGTGCAGCTCCCCATTCCCACAACCCGGTAGCAAAGCTTTGGACATAAATGCACCCATTTTCCTGAAGCTTATCATTGCAAGGTGAGGACTCTGTGGGGAATGATAGTCCCAAAGGCGGGACAGAGATCTCCCATAACGTCAGCCCTATGGCCTCGTCTGCTGCCCTGTAGATTCCACCACAACACCATAGTTTGCTGCGGAGTGAATTTGTATTTATTTATAAAAATATTTACATCCTGCTATATCTTTTTTTTTAAAGAGCAGTTTACAACAATATACATATTTTTTTAAAAAATTGAAACTTTAAAAATTTAAACCAGAGACCATCACCTTACTATTATGCAAATACATTTCCTCAAGGGCCTGAAGACACAGAAAAAGTTCAGGTTGAAACGGAAGGAGCCTGCTGAATCTAGTGGCAGGGAGTTCCACAGGACTGGCTGGGCCGATGACACTAAAGGTTTGGTTTCTTGTTGGGGTCAGATGATCCTCGCCAACTCAGGAGGCGGGCAGCAATGCTCTTGCGGATGATCTCAGCGGTTTGGGATAGAGGGGTTCAGGTGATCCCCGAGGCAGAATCGTAGAATCGTAAGGGACCCGAGGATCATCTAGCCCAACCCCGGGACCAAAGTTGTCCCCCTGCAACTTTTTCCTTTTATTTATTTATTTTAAAAAACCTTGCAGTTATAAAGACAGACTTGCTACCAGCATTGCGCTCTGTCTCTGCCAGACACTCTCTAACCAGCGCCCGGGCACAAATACCGTATTTTTCGCTCTATAGGACACACTTCTCCCCCTCCAAAAATGAAGGGGGAAAGTGTGTGCATCCTATGGGGCGAATGCAGGCTTTCACTGAAGTCTGGAGAGCTAGAGGGGTCGGTGCGCACCGACCCCTCTCACTCCCCGGGCTTCAGGCAGCTATCCGCAAGCCTTCAGAGCGCGGCGGGAGTTCCCGCCAGGCTCCTAAGGCTTGTGGAAAGCAGCCTGTTCTGGGGGCTGGGGTCGAGGGGAGCTCGGGTTTTCCCCGCCCCAGCCCCGTGGCTAAAAACAAAGTCGTGCGCAACCTCTCCTGGCTGGAGAGGTTGCGCGTGGCTAAAGAGGAAGCCAAGACAGCCGGCGGGATGGATCCTGCTCGCTGTATTGGCTTCTTTGCTCTTTGGGGCTGGGGGAAAAAAATAATTCCCCCGCCCTTTATTTCCCCCCCTAAAAACTAGGTGTGCCCTATGGTCCGGTGCGCCCTATGGAGCGAAAAATACGGTAAATCCTCACGTTAGCCTCTCCATAGCACTCTTGCTGCCTGCGTGGGCAGGTCGAATCTCCTTGCCCGTCTCCTCAATGACGGAAAGCAAGTCTGTGTATGTGCTCTGGGAGCCTTGGGCACCTGGGGGCTTCATAGCCTGCCCGTAGCCCATCGACGGGGGCCCAAAATCGTTGGAGAGAGGTCGGAAGGGGGCAAAAGCTCCAGAGATCATCCCCGACTCTGCGCTCTCTGGTGCTGGCCGGCCCGCCCGGGACCAAAGTTGTCGAGGGCTTTGTAAATCAAGACAAGGACCTTGAACCTGGCTCAGTAGCAAATGAGCAACCAGCGCAGCTCCTTTAGCAAGGGAGTTCAATGTTTTCGCTGGAAGCTCCGGTCAGCAATCGGAGCGCGGCTTCTGAACCGGGTCCAAGGGCAGCCCCACGCAGAGCGCATTGTAGTAGTCCAGCCTCGAGGTTCCCAGTGCACGGACTATGGCTCTCCAGGAACGGCGAACCAAAGAGAGCTGGGCAAGATGGTGCCTAATGGAGGGAGACTGGGATTTCTGTTTCGATTTTTCCGGTGAGATCTGGAACATTTGCGAATCCCGGGTGTTGGAGAGATTAAGCCAAAAGGCGCCATCTCTAAGTCCAACTTTTCTTTTCAGAGAGGTAAGTGGTCTGGGGACAGCAGCGCTTCTCCCGGCTGCTGGCCGGGCTGGTAGGGGGCCACCACCGTGCTCCGCAGAAAAGGCCCCGCCACGCTGGCAACTGGGAACACGATGTCGGCCGGCTGGGTCATCCAGGCGTCGAAGACGGTCTTGTTGGGCGGCATGGCTTGGTCCAAGTCAAGCGAGAGCCCCGAGGGATGGGCCAGGGCGGCGGGGGGCCTGGGGAGCAGCTCCCAGTACCCCGGGGGGCTTGTGAAGGGCAAGGGGTTGTAAATCGGCAGCTCCGGGACGGCGGAAAAGGCAGAGAACGGAGGCGGGTAGCTGGGGGGAGCCACCACGTTGGGGGCCACGCACTTGGTGTACGAGGTGGGCAGCTGCTGCAGGTGTGGCCCTCCGGCCCGCGGGGCATCGTCGGAGTCCGAGCTGCTGCTCTCGGGGTCCTGGAGGACCCGGGGGCGCTTGGCCAAGCTGTGGGGCGTGTGCCCCTTCTTGGGCCTCGGCCACCCGGCTTGCCTTCCGTCGGGGGACAGGGACCCCAGGGAAGAGAGGCTGCTGGAGGAGGAGAAGGAACGGAGGGCCGGCAGGCGGCTGGGGGGCCGCCAGGGCAGAACTGGGTGCCCTGTGCAGACCTGGTAGATGGGCACGGAGCCCCAAGCGTCTAGGGCGGCGGAGGGGCTATGGGGCAGCTCGGGGGCTGCCCTGGACTTCCCGCTCAGACCCACGTCCTGGAAGTCGCTGAGCAGGGTGTCGATGCTGATGGGGCTGTTTTGGGAGACCCCTTCGCCGGCCGGGAATGTCCTTGTGTCCTCAGGGGTGGGCATGTTCTGGGGGGCCGGGGGTCTTCCGTTGAGCGGCCAGCCGTGGTACACATAGGGGGCCAGGTCGGCGGCAAACGCCCGCTCTTCCTGCCGGGAGATGGGGGTGTTCTGCAGTTTTAGGGCCTCCGGGGGGATGCGGTTCACGTCCACTGTCCAGAAATTCCCCTTGGCCTTGGGCTTGGAGGGGTCCTTCAGCACCTGCGGGAGACGGGAGGGAGGAATGAGGTGCTTTTTTTTTATTGTTATTAATAATAGTAATAAATTTTTATTTATACCCTGCCCTTCCCGGTTCAAAAACCGGGCTCAGGGCAGCTAACAACAAATTTAAAACACTTTTAATTATAAAAGCAGCATAAAATACAGGATAAAAACATGAATAACAATAAAATTCAAAGTTCAGAAATCAATTTAGGGGAAATAAGCATTAGATAATCCCCAGGGCTAGCTGGCTGAATTGGTCCTACTTGGGCCAGCGAGGAGGCCAGGGGAGAATTAGCTGTGGGGTCTCAGAGCGGGTAATCTTCATAAAAAGGGGAGGGGGAGGGAAGGGAAATAAAAGATCAGGCTGAATTCAAATTAAAGGCCAGGCGGAATAGCTCTGTCTTACAGCCCTGCGGAAAGAGCTTAAATCCTGCAGGGCCCTGGTCTCATGGGACAGAGCATGCCACCAGGTCGGAGCCACCACTGAGAAGGCCCTAGTGGAGGATAATCTGACTTCCTTAGGGCCAGGGACCTCTAAACGATGGTTGTTCATGGATCTTGGTGTTCTGTTGGGAGCTGCTAAGAGTGGCTGGGGAAAATAATAATAATAATAAGCTTATGCCCTGCAATTATCCTGTCCAATTCTGGGCCCTCTTGAAGCGCAGGGTCCCCTTCAGGCCCAAACCCCCCCTCCCTTGCGCCCCCACCTCACCTTGTAGAAACAGTCGTTGGAAGACAGGTTGTGGCGGATCGAGTCCTTCCATCCCTGGTAGCCTTCCTTGAAGAAGGGGAAGAGGGTGCTGATCTCTTGAATGATCTGGAAAGAGCAGGAAGCAAATGTAAAAGGATTCCTCGGGGGTCAGTGGGCACCGATCCTGGACAGTGCCCCCTAGAAACGCAGGCAATACTGGGAGATGATATATAATGAGTTGAAAAAAATATTGAAGGAAGACACAAGATCTACCCACACTAGAAGAGTGGCAGACGAAGGTGATCGAATATATGGAATTGGCAGAAATGACTGGCAGAATCCGAGACCAGGGAGAAGAGTCGGTGGATGAAGATTGGAAGAAATTTAAAGACTATTTGCAGAAATACTGTAAAATTAATAAATGTTAAAATGATGTTGGATTGAAAATAAATGGTATTGGCTACAAGGTTAATAAGAACATGTAAATACGGATAATGGATGAAAATATACAGTTATAATAAGTTAAGATATAGAGTAAAGATAAATGAAAGAGGGTAAGGATTTGCTGAAATGTTTTTTGTAAACGGGAATACAAAAAGGGGAGGTGTGAGGAGGTCAAGGAAACAAGTAAATGAACCCAAAGATATTGAAAAATGGATATATTTTCTTTTTAAACTTTTTCCCCCCCAGCTACCTGTTTTTTGTATTTTGTACCTTTTTTATTCTTTTTCCTATGTGTGTTTTTTAGTTTGTTAATTGTTGTTATAATTTTCTCTATTTTGTAAACTTACGTTTTCTTTTTGTAAAACTTGAATAAATATCTTTTTTTAAAAAATGAAAAAAATATTGAAATATACATTTATAAAGAAACCAGAAGCATTTCTATTGGGCATTGTGGGGAGTGATATAAATAGAAAGGAATGTAAGCTCTTTTTATATGCAATAACAGCAGCGAGAATATTATTGGCCCAAAAATGGAAGCAAGAAGAGTTACCGTCGATTGAAGAATGGTGGATGAAGTTAATGGACTATACAGAATTAGATAAAGTAACAGGAAGGATTCGAAACCGGCGAGACCAGGAATTCACGGAAGACTGGAGTAAATTTACGGACTATTTGAAAAGTAATTGTGAAGAACAGACGGCGTTTGTAGGGTTGCAAGAAGTTTTGTGAGGAGTATTATTGGAAGTATTGTAAAAATGGATAAGGGGGAGGAGGATTTGTTAAGAGATGTAAAGGCAATATAAAGTTAAGAAATGCATAAGAAGTGGTGAAAACGGTGGATCATCAGAGGTGCTGATGGAAGTCTAAAAAGATTGTATAAGTGATAAGTTTTGTGGTACATTTTATAATTTATATGTTAAAATTAATTAAAAAATATTATATTAAAAGAAAGAAAGAAAAGAAACACAGGCAATACAACTCTTGGGGAGAAGGAATCGAGAACGGCCAGCTCTGGATTCTAGGATTCTGCAATATCCTTCTGGAGGGGAGGAGGCCAGAATCTGGTAGACAGCGCCATCTGCTGGAATGACCAGAGCTCTGCCACGCAGCTGACCGGGTGACCTTGGGCTGGCCACCATCTCCAAGCCTTACCCGCCTCGCAGGGTTGTTGTGATAAGAGGGTAAGATCGGCTGCTTTGAGCTCCATGGAGCAAAGCTGAGAAATAAACCAAATAAATAAATCGATTCCTGGGGGGGGGGGGGGGGATGGCTGGCCCAAGTATATATTGGATCAGATACGGCATTTTATATTTGCAAAAAGCCTGGCTCAAAACCATCTGTCAAGAGATAAGGGGAAATCGTTATTAAATATCATTAAATGTTACATATTAAGTATGCAGTATTTGACTCCAGACAGGTGATTTAGAATGCCGCATGGTTCAGGGATGGAGGTATACTCATTTCATATTTCATATATTTTTAACTGCAGCTATATCTGAATTGTCTCTGTTATATCCAGCTGCAATTCAATGTATCCCTGTTGTGTTTTATGATTTTCCTGATATTGTAAGTGAGCTGGAACTGGTCTGTGACCATAATAATAAAATTCTAATTCTTCTTATACAGCGGATTTCTAATTTCTCAATTAACTTGTTTGGGGAAAAAAGGTTAACTATGCATTTTAACTATGCGTTCTATCTAATATTAGGTTACAAAACCACTGCACTCTCATGTGGTTTTATCAAGTTATCTGAATGATATAGTGAGGAAAAAAAATATTTATGAGCTAGTATGAAGCTCTCAGCAACTACAGAAGTTTCGATTGCCACAAAGGGGAATGTTAGCATGACATTAACAGTGAAAACATGGCTGGAATATTGCAGAAATATCAAAGGTTATAGAGCACATTCAGTTATGGGATGGCTGGAAAAAGCAATACGACCTTAATATTTAATGTTTAATATTTTAATGTTTTAATATTTTAATGTTGTATTTTAATCTTGTTTCTAAGTTGTATTTATTCAACTTGTTTTATCATTGCTTGTTAGCCGCCCTGAGCCCGGCCTTGGCTGGGGAGGGCGGGGTATAAATAAAAATTATTATTATTGTCATTATTAACACCATGAAGAAAAAACTATAAACCACATATTTACTGCAATAATTCATTCGAATTAACGTAGTATTAATGAGCTGCAATGATTGTATTTATAATATTGGCTTACGTTGAATTTTATTCATATTTATGTTATCCTTGTAGTGCACTTTATTGCATTTGGTTCTCTAGATAGGTCTTTCAATATGAACCAGCCTAGAAGCTATCAGGAAAGAGGAAGATGAACTGATTAAGGGTTTCTAAAAGGGAAGACCTGGAGAATTCTCCCCGCCCCACCACAGATAGCTCTTTTAATGATCCCATCACCTGCTGGCAAATAGAAGGGGAAGAAATGGAGGCAGTGAGAGATTTGACTTTCTTGGGCTCCATGATCACTGCAGATGGTGACAGCAGTCCCGAAATTAAAAGACGCCTGCTCCTTGGGAGAAAAGCAATGACAAACCTAGACAGCATCTTAAAAAGCAGAGACACCACCTTGCCAACAAAGGTCTGTATAGTAAAAGCTATACATACAACAATGAGAATGAATTAAGGCACAAATTCCACTTTGGAGGCAAGGATTACATCTAAAGCATAATGATGTTGAAGAGTCATATCTCTTATTTCTGACATTTCTTTGTTGATTATTTTTTAAAGCTAAGATGGTGGAATTAAACAGGTTCCAGAAAAGGCAGAGGAGATTTCTTAGTAAGCTCTTGTGCCACAAAATAACCATAAATCAGATTGAAGCAAACATGTAGATTTGCTGCTCTTTCTCATCCAGTTGAAACAAACATAAAAAATCTCTACACGCAGCCTGTTGTTCATAAATCATGTAGGTTGTGACATTATTAACTGAAACTTTTGGCCTACCACTCATAGTTGTAACATTAAAAAAACAAGAAGATCCATTAAAATACTCATATGTCCAATTACAATATGGATAATGACCTAAAAACTTATACGATTGTCCTGCATATTATTGCTAATCTTATATGAAGCATTTACTGGAATACCACCACCAAAACAAGCTCAAAACTTCTCAAAGCTTTTCAAAATCATTTTTCTCAGCAGCTAAAAGGCACTAGCCAAGCATATGCTGCTTGCTGTAACTAAAAAAATTGCAACAAGGTCGAGAACAGAGTCCATTGTCTTCGCAGGCCTTGCTAAAGAACCATATTGCAACTTGCTTTCTGTCCGGGAACCATGCCAAAGCACAAGAATGAAACAACTGGAACACACTGAAATCCCCTCACCCCCTCCCCTGCCAAGAGTCCACAATAGTTCCAAGACAGCTTTCTGTACATGCTCAGGGGAATACATCATAGGGCAGGAATCCTGAGGGAGGAGAAAAGAAGAAGAGATCTGTGGGGTAAATCCAAGCGATGCCGGTCCGGCGAGGGCATCCTTCAAAGCCAGGCTCACTTCCCAAACAAGAAGCAGCAAAACTGTAATGATATTTGATGGTTGAAGTGGCTTCCCAGGGAAAAGGGGGGCCAATGCGGTGGAGATGAAGATGGTCTTTCAACGTGCCAGGAAACACTGGAACAGCTGTGGAAGGTGGCTTTATCCAGGGAACATCAATATGGCGATGTCTCCAATTGCAGTGCAGGTTGAGATTAGGTGGGAGGTCATCACTGGCAGACAGCGTAAAATACAGTTTCAAAGCGCTGGTGTCTCCTTGGGCGAAGACGAGGCAGCAGAAGAGCGCCAAGGTCGAACGCAAGAAATCAAAGAAGTTGGACCCTTCCACTGTGGATCTGGAAGCAACCTGTAGGACACTAAAGGACACTGCAATATTTCTTCCTTCCAGAAATGAAGTTCAGCAGGCGTAAAATTCCTGTTGCCAAATAACCAGAGTGACCAATATGTGATCTAAGATGTGCTTCATAAAATTGACAAGTCCTGGCCTGTATCAAAGATGGGGCACTTTGTGCTGGAGTGACATTGCTGTGCGGTAGATCTGCACTGCGCACAAAAATGGTCCACTTTGTCACATCCAAAGCAGGTTTTATCCTTTGCAGGATTCTGGGACACGGTGGAGGACAGAGCCGTGGCTAGCAGGCGAGCTTTATGCGTCTCAGTGCCCACTGACTGGCAGGCTTTAAGAACATCTGCAATGACTATATTTGGCGTTGTCATCAAAGGGCGCAGCGCTTACTTACAGTCCTCATTTGCATTATCAAACGCAAGCTGGCGGACAATCAGTTCTTGGGCTGCGACGTCCTGAACTTGCCGCTTAAGAGTGTTATCCAAGCGATCGACAAATTGTCCATAGTGCTTTGTAGGGCCCTGTCTGATGCTGCCCCAACGGCCATTGCGCTCAGTCTTGTCATCAGGGACAGAGGCCAAAGCCTCTTGGGCGGCAGCGGTGGTGGCTGCCCAATACATAGGATCAAGGGCCAACTGTTGGGCAATAGTAAGAAAATTGCCTTCTCCAGTTAAGCCATCAAGAACATCAGTTTGGTTCAGCATAACAGGGGCTGGGGGTGCAGGGCCATTGTCCTTGACAGAAGAATACAGTTCCTTTATGAATCTCAAATCAAACTGTTCGTGCCGGGCTGGGCCTCCCCCTGGGGCGGCAGGAACA